GAGTACAATGCTATAATAGATAGATTGTGAGTTTTTGAGAACAAAAAACAGATGAAAACAAAACAGACATTCTGGTGCTGTGTCGTAGAAGGTTAAGCCGCCGCCTTCAGTGTCTGCACCCTGTATGGCTGCCAGTTGGAGCCCCAGCTGCTCCACTTCCTATCCAGCTCCCTGCTAATGTGCCTGGGAAAGAAGCAGAAGATGGCTCCAGTGCTAGGGCCCCTGCACCCATGTGGGAGACCCAGAAGAAACTCCGGGCTCCTGGCTCATCATGGCCCAGTCAAGGCTGTTGCAGACATTTGGGCTGTAAACCAGCAGAAGGAAGATCAGTCTGTCTCTCTGTCTCTCTCCTCTTCCCTCTCTCCCCTCTCCCTTCTCTAAAGAATAAAGTAAAATAAACATAGAATATTCCTGTAGAGCCTATCAGATTCACTTTCACCATCTACACAGACAATTTCTTTTCCTGCTCCATCAGATGAGTTCATTAGTTTGTGTGGAAGATAATTTAATATCCTAAGCAAAAGTTTGCTACTTAGTAATGATGAATTCCTCCTCACTATACCTCAGTGTTTAGTCACTAAAAATATTTTGTCACTTTGAAATTCTTATAGATTTCGTGCATGAAATTTAAGATATCTAAAAAATGGTACAAGGGAAGCTCAAAAATATTGCATATGTAAATTTTGAATGTTTTTTTTTTCTGTTTAAGTATTTTCCCTTTTAAAACAACTACATCAACTAAAGTGATCCTAATGGGAGTAGACTCCTAACCATTTCTTAGCAGATTTGCCTTAGTTAAGAACCCAGTTTAACCCTTCTGCCTTGGAAATTTGGTTATTGTTAATATAAACATCTATATAGTATCTTCATTCACATTTCTTTCAAAAGCCTGCTATCCTATGGTTAAGGCTTGAACAATCATTTAAAAAATTTTCACCAATCGATGCAATCCCTTTACATTCCTGAGCAATGTTCTAAGGCAAGAACTAACTATGGTCAAAAAATATTGGACTCATTATTTTAATTCACTAAGTTGGTGTTGTCTGTACAAATATAGGTTATATTGTTAGAAATATGCCTTTTTAACAAAGTACTAGGTTACAGGAAATACACTAAATACCCAAAAAATTATTCCTACAAAAAAAAAAGAAATGGGGGCCGGTGCTGTGGCAAAGTGGGTTAAAGCCCTGGCCTGAAGCTCCGGCATCCCATATGGGCGCCGGTTCTAGTCCTGGCTGCTCCTCTTCATCCAGCTCTCTGCTATGGCCTGGGAAAGCAGTAGAAGATGGCCCAAGTTCTTGGGCCCCTGTACCCGCGTGGGAGACCTGGAAGAAGCTCCTGGCTCCTGGCTTCAGATCAGCGCAGCTCCGGCCATTGCGGCCATCTGGGGAGTGAACCAGCAGATGGAAGATCTTTCTCTGTCTCTACCTCTCTCTGTAACTCTGTCTTTAAAACAAATAAAATAAATCTTAAAAAAAATAAATAACTAAAGAGCAAATTGGAATTACTATAATTGACGAGAATGACATTTTAAATATAAATATTGATTTAAATTATTAAAAGTCAATGTATGAAAAAGGTGACAAATATTTTATGATATATTCAGCTCTAAAAATGAAACTCAGAAAAATAAATATATCCATTTTCAAGAGAAATTTCATTAAAACATAAATATTTAGACAACATAACGCAAATTTTTACTCCAGTTTTCATCATTTATTCACTAGTGTTTCTGACCTTTAGTTTACTTTGTAGTTAATAAGACATGTGTCAGAAAATAGAGACATTTCCTTCTGCAAAAATAGAAAGAGCTTCAGAGGGCCAGGATCCTGGTGGGCCAATCTCTAGATCTATATTCTGATGTAGACACACTGTGGTTCCTGCCTCAAGTCTAACACTGGAAGTTCTCAATCACGACACAGACACACTGTGGTTCCTGCCTCAAGTCTAACACTGGAAGTTCTAGATCACGACACAGACACACTGTGGTTCCTGCCTCAAGTCTAACACTGGAAGTCAGTCTCTGACTTCCTAGATGATTAGCTTCTCGGAACATCGCTACACTGATGACTAAATAGTTTTAAGTAATTGAGATCTTGAAAGAAGAAGATAGAAAAGTATAAATAAGTGTAATTTCTGTATTGAGTAATTCAAAAGTGGGCACATACAGGAATTTTGATAGAAACCCATCTTACTATAAATTATATAACCTTGAGACTATCATAAACTTATCAGAGAATTATGAAGTTATTTCATTTACAAGAATATTCACTAATAGAACTAACAAATAACATTACAAAACACTCGAAGCAACTTCAACGTTATTCTGTATTCATAAATTAAAGCATGTTGATTTCACTAACAATGTATAAATTCTCTAAGCTCCTGAAAGAATCCTTTGTCAGAAATCCAAATACTATATGTGAGCAACATTGGTGTGAAATTTATAGACATTTCCAGAGCTAAATCCAATGACTAAACACATTTAAATATTTAACTTTATCATTCCCATCATTATACAGCATAATATCGTTTGTGAATAACAATTTATGTAAATAACACCTTTGGCAAAACACTGCCAGAAAATACTTGAACTCAGTGCGTATAGTATGTCCCTTACCCAAGTTGTCTAGACAGATCTTAGACATTTAGAAGAGTCTCTCAATTCAATGCACTTAAAATTTAAATGACAATCTTGTGATACTAAACAAATCCCCAATTTAACTGGAAGAAAACAGTACTTCTTTAAGGGCTACAGGAAATTATTTTTTAAAAGTTGATTTAGTATTTCATATCTAAATTCAATTTCCTCTAGAATTCTAGAATATGGCATCAAAATTTTATTATTTTACTTGGCTCATGTAAATTGCTTGATAGACAGTCTCTTCAAAATAAAAATTAGTGGGAAGAAAGGACATCTGAATTTCTGAAAGAATAATGTTCTGGTTCCAAAACAATTCTAAGTATTTCTCTGACCACAATCAGTGGATCTGTTCTCCATACACACACACACACACTCACACACACACACACATTGGATAGGTCCATTTGTATATTCTATGCACTGCTCTCCATGAAGTCTCACTTTACCCAGGACACTGGTCTTGGAAATTTACAGTTATCTAAAACCTCTGGGGAACCGTGGCATGGGATACTACTAATAAAGTGGTTGGTGTTGGCGCTTACAATGAAGACCTTACTTTTCTCTATATGAATTCTCTACTTGTTAAATCTTCCATTTAATTGAAAATTAACTTTTTTCTCTAGATTGTACAAATTAATTTGCTCAGGAAGTATAATGGAGAAATGATTTTGACATACAAATCAATTTTATATTTCAATAGTATTTCCTTCTGAAATACATTTATTTGTAAATATGACTATAATGTATTATTATTAACAATCTAAACCACACAATTGATCCTTGCTTGTTTTCCTAAATATATTCCAACAGGAACAATGACTCTAATCTTCATCATCATTACAACCACTTAACACAGCAGCATCAACCCCAAAGATCTGACAGAATATCCAACGTCCACAGTTTGCACAGCAATTTTAGGGAACTTAGCGGAGCATGCTTAAGTATCAAATTCATCAGGAAAGGTAAGAAACTGCCCAGGTTTCTCGCATGTGGAACGGTTATCTCTCTTCTGAGTAAACATTGTATCATGTTAATTGGATGTATGCACGCTTCACATGCATAGCTTTAGAGATACGTAATGTTAAGCAAAAAGAAAAAGTTATGTGAATCGAGGCTTTATAAGAAGCAGTACACAGGAATAAGCAAGTATAAAACTAATGGCACTTGTTTTTCTTAAATTAGCCTGTTCTTCAAAAATATTAATGTATTCCATGATCGGCAGTAATAAACTTAAATGTGATTAACTCATTATAGCCCCTGGTACTGGTTTATGTAGAAACATATGACCTGCAAGACATCAGAGGTGAAGGGCACCCTATCCTCGGCACCATTCCACACATACATCAAATAAAAGGATGCACCTGTTTGCTTCTATGTCTGGGAAGAGAACATTCCCAGTTCTATTTTCTGGTAGTTGTGCTGCAGTTAAGTTCAGTTGCACAAAGAACATGTAGACTTTAACTTTCCAGAAAGTATAATTTTCCCCTGACTTTTCCAGAGAACAATATGCAAAGTACACTTTGTACATTGTAAACAGAATTGAGCTATGCTCCCACCCATAATTTTTGTTTATTGTGTTCACAATCTCTAGAGTTAATTTTTGTTAAAAACAATAGCTTTTTCAATCGTCAATGTGGAATAAAATTTAAAATCTGTATGAAAAACAAGACCAAAGTAAACAGACTCCAGATTTTACACAGAAGGTATTCCAAGTTCAGCTTCTTAAAATCTAGTGTTTGAAATGATCATTTGCTCTGTCAAAGTTCAATCTATGATTGTTCTTATTAATTTCCACCAAAAAGCATCTCAATAATAGCAAGACCCCAAAAGTATCTCAGCACAACACCTACAGACACAGAAACAAAATAAAATCCCTGTGCTTTCCAGGGGTCACGCAAAAGTAAAATCAAATTGCATTTCTCAGTGAGCAACTTCAACTTGGTCAACAAAAACTCCTCCAAGGAAATTCATGTTACTTAAACACTAGCTAGCAGTAGTACTGTTCAACAAAAAATGTAATAAAACTCTGGCTTAAAAACGAACTCGGCAGCACCTAGGGGTACAAGTAGTTTGTATTCAAAAGATTCAAAACCTCTCCAGTACATACTAACAATTAGAAAACCCAATCAAGAAAACCCCTACCAGTAAAAGTCTAAGTATGCTGTGCTAGCAAGTTTGGAAACCTTAGCAAATGGTGTTACCTTATTGTCAATCTATTACAAAAATGCCAAACGTTTACATCATGCAGCCATGTGGGAGTCAGCAGCTAACTTTCATTAAAATGGTAAAGCCAGAGTACCGAGAGAGTTCAGTCATTTAAACGGAAAATGTGTGTGTGCAGCAGCCAGTCTCCTACCTTCATACAGTGCTTTGAATCCCTGGGCGCTCACCGCAAAGTCGGTAGTGAACCACAGAGTGAGGATAGATCCCGTGCTCACTAGAGAGGAGGGGAGCTGGAATCCTGATAATCTAAATAAAAAAAAAAAAATGCATGTACTTCAATAGATTTGAATTAAACACATAAAAGTTAAAAAGTATGAATTTGTTAATGAAGCTTGTTTGGTGAAGTCTGAGTAACTCTTAACCATGGTCCATTTAAGTATACCTTTAAACAACTAGATTATCCACACAGTATGGTTTTGCTATGGAGTTGAAATTAAGCACTTTCAAGTATGAGAGTCTGCTTATTTAAATAAGGTTGAGAAAACCCCTTCATGAAGGACTGATTCAATACACCACTGAATTAGGGAGTATGTGGAAGACTCGGAGAGCAAAGTCACCACTCCACAAATGACACAGGACAGCGTGGTAGTGCACTTGCTTTTAAGTTCATCCTTTCCTTCCTAAATTATCAGAGTCGTCACGTCTAATACTTAACCTACATACTCTCAATATCCCCACCCAAAAACTGCAGTTTCTTTGCATGATAAATAAAAACCAATTACTACCTTGAGCAGAGGCTAAATAAATTAATATTTGTTTTCCAAAACATATCTTTTAGATTCTAAGAAATATTTTTTCACAATGTTTGGATATAATTACAAGTTTTACTGATAATAAAGTCACAGTTCTGGATGAGTAAACTCATATAATAATATGCAAAATACTTTAAAAACTAACAGCTTTTCCAAAGGTCAAAGAGAGGCTTCATCAATTTATAAATTACCTAAAGTTTGCTAATTAAGTGGGTTCATCTACAGACATGAGGTTTAGCACAGCCTGAACACCAAGGTGTGATGCAAAAAGAATCAACCTGAAAGAAGTTCATTCCTGACAGGAGGAGTCTGGCTTGTCAGTCATTCTGCGGCACTAAATACCTCATTACAGCTGGTGGAGGCTGCAGAGCCAAGGTGCTGGACCTAATCACTAGGAGTTATCATGGCAAAATAACGAAAGAACAACAGATTAATAAAATGGCAAGATCAGTGAGCTAAAACATAAAAATGAGATCCCATTTAAGGACAGAATAATTCTACTAATGCTACCCACACCTATGACATGTTATTTCTTTCCTCAACATACTAGAGTACTTAAAAAGTTCTGGAAAATGGAGCGGGTGCTGTGGCAAAGTGGGTAAAGCTGCTGCTTGTGGTGCCAGCATCCCATATGGGCGCTGGTTTAAGACCCAGCTGCTCCACTTTCGATCCGACTCCTGACAATGCACCTGGGAAGGCAGGGGAGGATGGCTCACGTCCTTAGGTCCCTGCACACACATGGGAGACCCAGAGGAAGCTCCTAGCTCCTTCAGATTGGCTCAGCTCCCACTATTGCAGCCATGTGGGGAGTGAACCAGTGGATGGAAGATTTCCCTCTGCCTCTGCCTCTCTGTAACTCTCCTTTCAAATAAGTAAATAAGTCTTTAAAATAGAAAAAGTTCTGGAAAAATGGATTAAAAAATAAGCATGTTTTGGTGCCAAGTAATTTTGAATTCATTTTCTTAAAATATAAATAGCAAAGAATGAATGACTGTGTGGAAAATTATTACTTCAGATATGAAATAAGTGGAAATCATGGAGTTAGTTCCTGAAGTCCCATGTGTGAAGCTGTCAGTGTTGCTGGGTGGAGAACCGGAAGATGGGAATGGGAGCCCTGCACAGCAAAAGCAGGGCCCACTAGCTGGGAGCTGTGGAAGGGTGATCAACTCTGAAGTCTGTGTGCTACGAGAGCTCTTCCCAATCGAGTCCCCAGAAGCCCACGTGGTAGGATCTGGCCCACCTTGCCATCTCGAGAACGCCACCTCCACCCTGGAGGCCCAGTGTCTCCTTTCCCGCCCTCCCTTTGCTTCTCCTCTCTGTCTCAGTTCTTCTCCTTTTGAGATGTTCCACGCACAGCACCATGCGGATTCTTTTCCCTCATGTCTCGGGTGATCTTTTCACTGCTACAACACGTAGTACTGTGTGGGTTCCCACCTGCCCTCGAACTGTTCTCGACTCTTATTTTCATCCTATCCCCTGACACTTGTCATCTGTTTAATTATTTTTAATTTTTCCCGTTGGGCACCAGCTCAGACCATTCTCAGACGGTTCAGAAACATGGAACCTAAGCAACCCAGTGGAAGACAGCCAGCACACATCATCTGTTTTTCCAGCAGACACTGTGGTGTGTGGCTCCCTAATGCAAAATGGGAGACAATTCAGAAAAGCAAAGATCGATCTAGAAATGAAAATTAGAGACACAGAATTTAGATTCTTCTGTGATGGAAAAACACCAAAGCTTCAGAACTTATCAACAGCACCCACCAACAGGATTCAATCAACATTCACACACCATTCCGCACAAGAGCAAAATGCATGTTTCCTTCAGGGGTCCAGAGAACATGTGCCAAGATTTGCCGTATCCTGGGCCGTGAAACAAGCTTTAGCACATTTGAAAGAACTGATGGGGTCAGGGTTGTGGTGCAGTTTGTTAAGCCGCTGTCTGAGATTCTGGCATCCCATGTGTTCTTTGCTTCATGTCCTGGCTGCTCCATTTCCAATATAGCTCCCTGATAATGTCCCTGGGAAAGCACTGAAGCATGTCCCAAGTACTTGGACCTTGCACCCACATAAAGACCTGGGTGAAGCTCCTGACTCCTGGCTTCGGCCTGGGCTATTTGGAAAGAAAACTACCATATATAAGATCAGTCGATCTCTCTCTCCCTCCCCCCTCCCTCCCTCTCTAACCCAGCCTTTCAAATTAATAAATAAATCTAAAAAAATTGAAATTATACATTGTATTCTCTGACTATATTGAAATAAAATTAGAAATCAATAACAGACAAATGACTAGAAAATCCCCAATCAATCGGAAGTTGAGCAGCACAGCCCTAAATAACCCATGGAACAAAAAGGAAGATCAGGAAATAAAAATATGCACTGAACTGAAAATTTATAGGATGCAGCTAAGCAATGCTCAAAGGATGATTAGTTGCACTGAAAACATACATTAGGAAGATGATAACTATCAAATCAATAATCCAAGTCTCTCTTTCAAGGCCTTCTGAAAAAAAGGAGTAAAATAAATCTTAAGCAAACAGAAGGCAAAACAAACCAGGAAAAGCAAGCACAGAAATCAGTGGATTTGAAAATAGAGAAAAACAATAAAATGAAGAGCTGATTCTTTGGAACGATCAATAAAACTGACAAACACACAGCAAGACTAACAGAGAGGGAGGGGAGATGTGCAGGCTGCAGAAAGTACAGATACTCGATACGCAAAATTACATCACCAATATTAATAAAGACTGGGGTCAGCACCGCGGCTCACTAGGCTAATCCTCTGTCTGCAGCGCTGGCACCCCGGGTTCTAGTCCCGGTCAGGGCACCGGATTCTGTCCCGGTTGCTCCCCTTCCAGTCCAGCTCTCTGCTGTGGCCCGGGAAGGCAGTGGAGGATGGCCCAAGTGCTTGGGCCCTGTAACCGCATGGGAGACCAGGAGGAAGCACCTGGCTCCTGGCTTTGGATCGGCGCAGTGCGCTGGCCATAGTGGCCATTTGGGGGAATGAACCAATGGAAGGAAGACCTTTCTGTCTCTCTCTCTCTCTCTCTCTCTCACTGCCTAACTCTGCCTGTCAAAACTAATAATAAAAATAAAACAAAATAAAGACTTGGAAGACATCAAAAATTCCTAAGAGGATAACTGAAAACTGGAACACATATATCTGACAAACGAGGAGACAGGGGCACTCTCTCAAAAAGCACAAACTACCACATAACTTATCTACTAGAAAACTGATATTGTAAATAATCAGTTACTAAAATTCCCCAAAAAGAAACCTCTAGACCCAAATTATTTACTGGTGATGTCCATCTAATATTTAAATAATTAATAAAAATTCTACACACTCTTCCAGAAATTATAAGTGGATACAATAGTTGTCTATATTTGTTAATTTTTTTTGTTTTTGTTTTCATCTACCTCTATGGAAGAGCAAGACAGCAAGTAAAATTGATTTTCCACTCTCTGGCTCACTCCCCAAAGGCCTGCAACATCATGGCTGGGTAAGGTACAAGCCGGGAGCCTGAAACTCTGCCCAGGTCTCCCATGTAGATGGCAAGAACCCAGTAGTTGATCTAGCCTCTGCTGCCTCCCAGGACACATCAGCAAGAAGCTGGATCTGAAGCGGGACAGCCAGGACTTAATCAGCTCCCGAGCAGGGATACAGGTGCCTCAGTGTAACACACTGCTCTACAGCACCTACTCCTGCATTTATTGGTGACATCACCCTCTCACATGAACTGAACTGTGCCTCCCCTACTAACGTATGTGTTGAAGTTCTCACTTTAAATGTGACTATATTTCAAAATAGAATTTTCAGAATTTAATTAAGGGTAAGTGGGGACTAAATGATGGGGGCATTATCTGATAGAACCAGTTTGCTTACAAGAAGAGCAAGAAATCTCCCACGTGGTCTCTCTCCCCATACCCACTGCCCTGCCCCCCAGCTTGGTCAGGCAATGAGGAAAGGTCATAAAAGGTCACATAAACATGCAGTGAGAAGGAAGAGATCATCCTGGCAATCAATTCTCAGACACCCAGCCTCCAGAAACATAGGAAAAACAATTTCTGTCGCCTCCTAGTATATGGTATTAGACTAGCTGGCTATGGAGCATACTAGGACACCTTAATACCAAAGCCAGGAAAAGTACAGAGAATAAAGAAGCACGAAAGGGAAAAATAAGATATTGATGTCTCTCATGAATATAGATGAAAAATCCTAAAAATTAAGAGAAAATGAGAGTTCTATACTGCTGATTTGTATAGCATGGCTCAATGGTGCTTATTCAAGGATGCAAGGATAATTTCATACTTTAAATCAATGTCATCTGCCATGTCAACAGTTGACAAAATTAAAACTCAGAATATCTACATGTAAGACTTACGTATTAAACAGAATCTGAAAAATTAAAGAGTTATAAGAAAATTTGTCAGTCAAATATGAATGATGGAAAACTTATCTGTTTGACAAACAGCCACCAAAAGCCTCCAGAT